TCCAGCTGCAAACTCCACACCCATATTTATTTCAAAACCGGTCCTATATTTTAGGCTATATGTCTGAGGCTGCTAGTCTTAGTTGCTTAAATAATCTCATTGTTTAACAGGACTACTCATATAAAACAGGCAGAATTTGGCCTTTAAAATGTAAGTTCATTCAGCTACATATCGATTGTTGGATATAGTCCATCCTTATGATATACTAGATTTACCCAGTGTTGCTTGGGTCTTTAACTCAATTTTTGTTTTTCTTCATGTAAATCATTGCTCTGGGGTGGGCTAGGGAGGAGGGATTCAGTCTGCAAGATGGCCATGGGAGAGAGGACAACCCCAGCCCTCTCTAACTGCAGTAACTTGGGGTCAGGTAAAACATTCCTCTCTCTCTGGCCACTGCAGCTCCAGCAGGCACAGCTGGGGGAAGGGTACATGTCCCTGATGGAGGCAGGTCCTGCCCCTGTGGTCCCCAGCCAGAGTGAGGAATATAGCAAACTGTGCACTTTCCCCTCAAGGCTCCCATGCAAATTGGGGGGGGGGAGGAGGAAACTGCAGCACCCTCCCCCCCCACACACAACCAAACCCTGACCTTGCTTTAAGTTATGATAAGAGGAAGCTGCGTACAGAATTCAGTGGTCCTAACTTTTCCCATTTAGGAGGCATTCTTGGAGAGACTCACAGACTCCCACAATCACACACACTCTCAATTATATAGTAGATACATCTGTGAGAATTTGTACCTCACAGCAAAACAGGTTAGTATCTTGCTTTTCTTAGTCATTAATTGCTGGATACCAGGGGTATGTCTAGACTACAGGCTTTTGTCAACAGAAGTTTTGTTGACAGATACTGTCAACAAAGCTTCTGTTGACAGAGTGTCTAGACTACATCCAGTTCTGTTGACAAAGCAAGCCACTTTGTCGACATGAGAGTGTAGATGCAATAACGCCTTCTGTCTACAGAACTCTGTCGACAAAAGGCGTTATTCCTCATAGAATGAGGACACTTTTGTCGACAAAACCCTGTACTCTAGACACACCCTAGATCTATGAGTTGATGTTCCATATCTAGTGTATCCCAGATTCAAATATGTACAGTAATGTAACTGATCTGTACCAATGCTTGACTTTTTCCTCACACTGTTAAGGTATCATCTTTTTGGACACTGTCTGGGCCCTGGTCTCACTCAATTAGGATATGTCTAGACAGCAGTGCTATTTCAGGATATGTACGGTACCTTCAATAGCATTTTCCACATCTTAGCATCAAGCCTGTTATTTTGAAGTACAATGCTTCCTGTTCCAATGTCCTGGTAAACCTCGTTCCACATGGATGAAGGGACCTGTCGAAATAGACTATCTCAAAATAAACTACGCAATTTGCATAGCTTGAATTGTGTAGCTTATTTCGAGCTACATGGCTCTGTATAAACATACCCTTTGTCAACAGGAGCCTTGTCATTGATCTGAATGATCATAGGATCAAATTCCTAATACCTCTGGAACGTAAGACTGAAAGGGAACTTCTCTGTCATTGAATCTCGTCTGCTGCTACTGCTGATCACAGGAGTCTTTGCTGTCTTTGGGCATTGGCTCAGGACCTTTGTTTGATTCTGTTTAATAATAAGTACATGAAAGGTCTTTTAAACTAAAAAACAAACTTTTATAAAATCCTACAACTCTTCAGGCTTCTCTTTATCATGGCTAAAAATTATTGCACGCAGAAATTGTGTAGAACAATCATTTGGAATCAGTGATGTGGCTGGTTCCATTCTTTATTTTATGTATTAATTTATGGAGCATCTACTGTCCTAGAAGCAGAGTTTTTCATGTGTTGTTATTATTTGACTATTAGGGCAGGACTAAATCCGAAATAAGCTATGCAACTTGAGCTACGTCAATTGTGTAGCTTAATTCAAAATACCTATTTCAGCTTTTGGTGCTGTCTACACAGCAGGAAGTCCGAGAAAGAGCACACTTCCTCCGACTTCTCTTACTCCTCATAAAATGAGGGTTACAGGAGTTGGAGTAAAGTCCTCCAACTCAACAATATTTCGACATGATGTAATGTAGATACGGAATATGTTATTTCGGAATAATGTCAGTTATTCTGAAATAACACTGCTGCGTAGACATAGCCAACGGGACTTGCATGAAATTACACAGCCTGCCAGTAAAGATCACACAGTAACTATAAGAGATGAAACATTTTTCATTCTATAAAATGCCTTATGCATTTTACTACTGTTGCATATTTTGCTTCAGACAGGGAGGCATGTGTTTGTTCTTCTCTCTGAAAAAATATGTATATTTTACATTTTGCTGAAATGGAAGACTAACTTTCTTTTTCTCTAGTTTATAGATACCTCTGTTTCTGTCCATTAAGATTGTTGTGCATACCAATTTTGCTGCAGAAATCTATCATATCACTGGCTGTGTTTTAAATACTTGTGAAAGCAAAGCACACAAGGGACACTAGCAAGCCAATTTAATTTTAAAAAAAGTTGAGTTTTTTTATACTCTCTCCCTGAAAAAATGACTTAGAAGCTTAAATATACCACTCCCAGCCCTGCTGATTTTTGTGGCTTTCTATTTAGCAAACTCTGGACTGGACCCTGTGCATTTTACACACCCACATGGAGAAATTACATTCACTTCAATGGGATGTTTTTGTGCGTGTGAGCTGGATTTAACCCACCGATAGTGGCTGATGCATGTTTATAGAGAATGCATCTATGCTTTGTGCACTGCTGTCTTGGTGTGTTAACTTGAGATGGGTCACAACTGAAAAATTCTGTTCCGTATTCACTTTCCCTCAACGTAAGGGCATGAAGATCTGTGATGTATTGTTCAGTTGATCTTATAAGTAAGGGACAGGCATGAAAGGCCTGAATCTGATCCTATAACTCACATGGAGTATTACCTTAGGGGTAATCTGTTGAAGTCAGTGCATATGTGTGTCTCCTACACAGTCCCCAATAAGGGGAGATTCTTGGGTAGGTTGCTTGTGGCGAGACCCTGATTTAGGGTAGAGCAGTCCCTGGAGGCACTGCCCTGTACCACTTAACAAGCACAGCACACATTCCCAGCACTTCATCTTTTATGCCTTTTGCTGAATGGCAGCACCTTACTACGACAAGTTCCTAGGAGTAGTCTCATGGTGTAATTAAAATGCACCAGAGCATATTTTTCCCATTGTGGACAATATTTTTTTAATTTGTTGGCACATCATGGTCTCCTAATAATCAAATATATTGTCACTGAGTCCTAGTGGACAATGGGGAGGGAATTTCTTGGCAGTTAATTGAGGAACTAATTTATCTTAGCCCAGCTGGTCATTAGCTGCCAGGAAATGTCCATGCTGCAGTTCATTACTTGGTACTGAGTCATGTGTCTGCTTTTTTCCTGAGCTCTTTCCTGTGAGTAGGAGAACAGGACAATTCTCAAGAGTTTGTTTCTATAAAGTCCTCAGCTTTTTTTTTTTTGGCTGTATGGCTATGTCTAGACTGCAAGCCTCTTTCGAAAGAGGCTTTTTCGAAAGATACTTTCGAAAAAGCCTCTTTCGAAAGGGAGCGTCTAGACTGCACACAGAACTTTCGAAAAAGCAAGCCACTTTTTTGAAAGAAAGCAGCAAGTGAGTCTGGATGCTCTCTTTCTAAAAAGCCCTGTTTGCTTTCAAGAACGCCTTTTTTCGTTCTTCGAAAAAAGGCGTTCTTCCTCGTGGAATTAGGTTTACCGCTGTCGAAAGAAAAGCCGCATTCTTTCGATTTAATTTCGAAAGAACGCGGCTGCAGTCTAGACGCAGGTGAAGTTTTTTCGAAAAAAGGCTACTTTTTTCGAAAAAACCCCTGAGTCTGGAGACACAGCCTATGTGAGTACTATTTTGTACAATATTCTTCTAGGTTTCACCTTCTTTTTATTCAGCCATGCCTTTGATATTACGTACCTGCCTACACTAACATGTACACCTTGCATTCTTTTCATACAAAGCACCAGAAGTGTTTTGATGGCCAATTCTTTATGATTCTCTGCTTCATCTTTGTGTCCAGCTAACTGAAGATTAAAACATCTTTTAGATAGACAGGGTGCGTTACCTACAAAGATAAGACCTATACAATGCCAGGAAGACCCCTATAACCTAAATAAGACAAAGACAAGGCACTTGATAGCAGTACAGGAAATTGAATCTGTGAAGAGGAAGAGGAAGAGGAAGAGGAAGAGGAAGAAGGATTGGTGGAAGGGGTTGGGAGCAGAGGAGAGGGGGCACTTGGCAGATGCGGGAAAGGATATTCTTCCAATCATAGTGGGTGACATGATAGGAGGCATGAAGAGGAGTGGGGGGGGAAAGAATTGATGGGGAGTAGGAGAGAAGGAGAGCAAGGAAATGTTGTCTAGATCTTCATTGATAAAGGCAAGGAGTTTGAATCTGCTGTGATGTGGAAGTATTTAAGCAGGAAAGTGAAGTTCAGATGGATTTGTAGCTTGCTGTCCGTATCAGGGGTGGGCAATCATTTCTGCAGGCAGGCCACTTAATGAATTTTGGTATGTGGTCGTGGGCCACTTCCACCCCAGAAGAGGTGGGGCCTGGAAGGGGCGGGGCTGAGAACTAGTCTCCTCCCAGAGTTGTCTGGGGCTGGAAGCTTTGAATTAAAGACACAGGAAAGAGCTCGTGACTTCAGCTCTTGCTAGGGTAGCACCACGACCGCGGGCCATTGTAATAGGATCCTGCTGCCTAATCCATTGTGTGGAAATTCGGTTGCACGAGCAGCAGGACTCCTCTGAATTAATTGTAACGTGAAGGACAAGTAATGGGTGTGATCCTATGTGGGGGATGCTTTGTATCTTCTCCTGTAGAGGCTCCTGTGAGTGTCGAAGTGACTTAGCATCTTGCAGGACTGTGCATACTCTCACTACAATAAACTGCAACACTGCCCATGTGCTCATTCTCTTTTGGCACCATGACAATAATATCCTTCCAACACTTCTACCTCTTTGGTTTATTAGGCCACCACCAAGTCAAGCAAGGGACGTGTGAGGTAGTCGCAGTGCATCGCTGTTGCAATAAGAACCGAATTGAAGAACGGTCACAAACAGTCAAGTGTTCTTGCTTCCCGGGGCAGGTTGCTGGTACGACAAGGGCACAGCCGTCTTGCGTTGAAGGTAAGCAATCTCCCACTCTCTCCTACTGCTTTTGTGCTCTCTCAGAAATTAGTCTCCTTGATTGTTTGACTTCCTGCTGTTTAGAAAGCATAATCCGTCCTTTTGTTAATTTTGGAAACATCTCTGTTCATTGATGATAATGAGTGTGCATAAATCATGGTGTAATTAATCCCCTTAATATATGTTCTTGTCCATTTCATGTCCGTACCAATAAAACTTAGTTTTTCCATGTAAAAATTGTTCTTTAAAGTAGTCTGAAACTGCACAAGCCAAGACATTTTGTGTTTCATCATTAACCCATCCAGTTGCCGCTAGACATAGCAATATGGCCAGGGTTGCCAGGTGTCCAGTTTTGAACTAGATAGTCCAGTATTTGAGCTTTCTGTTTGGGAAACAAATTGAGAAAATATAAATGTCCGGTATTTTCTAACGAAGATGTAATGTAGATTGTGATGTAATGTCAAGTGTGTCTGGTATTTTTGTTGAAACCATCTGGCAACCCTAAGCATGGCTGTGGAATCACTGGGACATAAAGAAACCACTGACTGGTCATCATTCCAGTGCTTGGTAGCCATGGGCAAGCAGATTAGTACCAAACATCCGGGTTGTGTCAAGTGTCCTCTAGGCTGGTGTAATCCAGCACCTTATATTCATACTGAGCTTTTGCCCCTGGACCTCCATGTGTCTACTCTGCCCTACATCCATTTAGCTTTGCCTGTGTTCTAACCCAAATGAGATGACATGGGAGGAATCCCAAGGAGATGATTATATATTAACAATGTACAATCCCATTTAACCCTAATCCCAGTCTTAGCTAAATGCTAAATTTAACTGGTTAACCAATAAGCAGGATCTCATGGGTGCGAGGTCTCTCCAGCCTGGCTGGAGTGGCTCCTGGCCCCATGAAGGGTTACCGGCTCCTGGCCTTGCAGTAGGCGTGTTGGGGCTGGAGTAGCCCTTTGCCTGCGGTGGACTGTGGGTGGGGGGTTGCTCTTGGGCACTGGTAACTGTTATGTACCATTGTATTGGATACCGTAAACCATTGGTGGCACTGCTATGATGTCCTGATATATGCAAAAGCATCGTACAAACTGATGTGGTCCATCACCCTTGCATTCGGGTTAATTTGAAGAACTTTCCAATGCAAAGGCACAATTGCATAGATTTACAGTCTTTCATTTGTTGGTGGTAAATATCACTTTTTATAACACTACACCAGACTGGTATAAAATCAAAAGTTATAAACTACAAAATTTTCTCTTGGGTTGTGATCTTATAATGCAACCAGCTAGACTGAATTTGTATAGCTGAAATATCTACCCCCAAAGACTCAAATTTCTCTAAATATTTCATTGTTTGTCTCCTAACACATTCTGCTGCTTCTGGCCACGCGATGTTTTTATGGTACGAAATGGCTAATACAAGTCTTCATTAGCTTATTTGTCAGTTAGAATTAAAAGGATCTTAACACACAGCCTGCGAAATTTACATTTAAATTGAAATAAAGCAGATATTTTTTGTAGCTTACTAATTAATATTGACACAGAAATCACTGTCCTATATTTTTGTTAATCCACAAGTAAGAAACTTATCTTCCATTGCTTCTCACACAAAATCATGACCCATGAAAGATAAATGTAAAATATCCTAGGTTTCTCTGACTTTCTATAATGTTTCACTTTAGGAAAAATCCTACAAATAAATGTAACTGTCTGATTTTAGTATTTACTTTACCTATTTATATGTTTTTCTATTTCTGAGAACCTGATATTTTATTTACGAATTAGATTTGGCTTGATGTCTAAAATATCTTGTAATTCAGGGGCACAAATTTACCTTAATTTTTCAGTTTACTGAATAATTTTGCTTGTTGAATCATATGCAGTGCCTATACTTTTTATGTGACATACCATGCAACAGTTTTTCTGTTCTTTATGGTAGGTAGTAAAGTCTAGACATTTATTAAAATATACTTTAGTGTTACAAAGGTAACACTCTGTGCTTTCATGACAGAATGAAGTGCATGGTGTAGAGGAAGCCTAATTTATTTTGTCAAAGCAAACACTTGCTGAAACAATTTAATGGTTTCTTTTCCTTCAAGTGTGCTTGAGATTAAATAAGACAAAACATTTAGAATGCAAGATATCTAGTTATAAAAGCAGAAGCTCTTGATTTTTTCCTTAGGGTGATGTTTTAATATACTTTATGTCCTTTTGTAAGCATTTAGATCTAGACTCAATGACATTTTATTCCTCTCTGTTGCACAGAACTCATAACTATCTGTTCATAGCCTCAAAATTGTATTTTTCACTATATATATATATAGAGAGAGAGAGAGAGAGAGAGAAAGAGAGAGAGAGAGAGAGAGAGAGACTTCTGTAAGCCTCAACAGTGCAAAAACAAGAAAGAGATAATATTCAACATGGCCTGATTCGTATAATTAATTATTTTAAATACAATGTAAGAGGTTCGTTGGTCTTTCTCAAGAGATTTTACCAAGGTCAGAGAAATATAATTGGATCACATTCCACACATTTGTTACAGGAGAGTTAATGGACTTGTTGAAAGCACAATATTACTGTTTATAGTCTAACTGCAATGAAGGGTTTTTTAGAGCACTCGTTATTTTGAGTGGCTTTTTAAGGTATCTTCTTTTAAACTTAGCTGATACTTTTTTATATTAGGGCAACACACTTCCCCTTGTGTCAAGCACTTCAAGTGCACACAATAATAATACTAAAAAGCCAGTCCTTCCTAGCCCTGCATGCCTTAGAAGTCTGCACAGCTGTAATAGGAAAAAAGTGAAATACAAAAGACTTAAGACATAATTTCACAATGGGGTTCTGGTCCAAGTAATGCCAGAACATGCAATCCTTGTTCAGCCTGATGAATATTTACTCATGTGAGTAGTCCTATTCATTTCAACGCCGCTGCTCACATGAACTGATGTACCGCTATGTAAACAAGAGTTCTATAGATGGTATGAGTTCAGGAAAAAAATTATGATGCTATAATGAAAAAATCATTGAGGAAGAATAGGATGCCCTTGATAAAAAATATCTCAAATGGTGCTAATATCTATCTCTTATCTAGCACTTTTCGTCTATAGATTTCAAAGTGCTGTACAAAGGTATAGGCAGCATTGGTATCCACATTTACAGAGGGGCATGCTGAGATGCAGGGAGGTGAAGTGACTTGTCCAGGGTGTCCCAGCAAAACCATGTCGGAGCCAGGAAGAGACCCCAGTTCAAGTCCCAGTCTACACTTACAGGTCTTTGTAAGGGACATAATTGTGCATGGACTGCCCCAGGGCAAAACCCCAGGCTTCCGGGGTCTGTAGCTCTGGTGCAGGCCTGCATATGGACTAGCCAGAGACCAGAGATCCCAGAGTTTCTGTTTCTCTGGTGTTGGGATTTCTCTCGGATCTTAACTTCTTGGTTGCCAAGAACTCGACTCCGACTCGTCATCCGATTTAATTATTGGCACGCAATCAAACTACACAGAGTTGATCAGCCTCACGTGAGGGGCAGGGAGGTACAGAGCATACCATACATCCAAAGAGTACAGATACTGTTGTTTTATTTACAAATGACGCTCCATATGGACACATACATCCTGCATTTGGCATCAGAACTTCATGATTGGCCTTGCTATTTTAAGGTGCTACTATAAGGTGGGTGCATAACTGGCTGAATAACCATACTCAGAGAGTAGTTTTTAATGGTGCACAATCATGCTGGAAGGACATAACGGTCTATTTTGGGACCAGTTCTGTTAAATATCTTCATCAGTACTTTAGATGATGGCATAGAGAGAAGGATTATTAAATTTGCAGATGATACCAAGCTGGGAGGGGTTGCAACTGCATTGGAGGACAGGGTCAAAATTCAAAATGATCCAGACAAACTAGAAGTATGGTCTGATGTAAATAGGATGAAGTTTAATCAGGACAAATGCAAAGTGCTCCACTTAGGGAGGAACAATCAGTCTCACACATACAGAATGGGAAGTGACTGTCTAGGAAGGAGTACTGCTGAAAGAGATTTAGGGGTCGTAGTGTACCACAAGTTAAACATGAGTCAACAGTGTGACACTATCGCAAAAAAAGCAAACATGATTCTGGGATCCTTAACAGGAATTTTGATAAGCTCAGAGAACTTGTAGGTAAGGTCCCATGGGAAGCAAGACTGAAGGGAAAAACAACTGAGGAGAGTTGGAAGTATTTCAAAGGGACGTTGTTAAGGGCCCAAAAGCAAACAATTCCGCTGTGTAGGAAAGATAGAAAATATGGCAAAAGACCAGCTTGGCTTAACAAGGAGATCTTGCATGATCTCAAAATAAAAAAGGAGTCATATAAAAAATGGAAACTAGGACAACTAACAAAGGATGAATATAGGCAAGCAACACGGGAATGCAGGGGCAAGATTAGAAAGGCAAAGGCACAAAATGAGATCAAACTAGCTACAGGCATAAAGGGAAACAAGAAGACCTTTTATAAATACATTAAAAGCAAGAGGAAGACCAAGGACAGGGTAGGCCCACTGCTTAGTGAGGAGGGAGAAGCAGTAACAGGGAACTTGGAAATGGCGGAGATGCTCAATGACTTCTTTGTTTCGGTCTTCACCGAGAAGTCTGGAGGTGTGCCTAACGTAGTGAATACAAGCAGAGAGAGGGTAAGTTTAGAAGATAGGATACACAAAGAACAAGTTAAAAATCACTTAGGAAAGTTAGATGTCAGCAAGTCACCAGGTCCTGATGAAATGCATCCCAGGATACTCAAGGAGCTGATAGAGGAGGTATCTGAGCCTTTAGCTATGATCTTTGAAAAATCATGGCAGACAGGGGAGATTCCAGAAGACTGGAAAAGGGCAAATATTGTGCCCATCTATAAAAAGGGGAATAAGAACAACCCAGGAAACTACAGACCGGTCAGTTTAACGTCTGTCCCAGGGAAGATAATGGAGCAGGTAATTAAGGAAATCATATGCAAACACTTGGAA